TATATGTCTTTTAGCTCATGCAGTAGAATCATAGAATCATAGAAGATTAGGATTGGAAGAGACTTCAGGAGGTCATGTAGTCCAACCCCCTGCTCAAAGCAGGAGCAATCCCCAACTAAATCATCTCAGCCAGGGCTTTGTCAAGCTAGGCCTTAAAAACCTCAAAGGATAAAGTTTGCACCACCTCCGTAGGTAGCCCATTCCAGTGCTTCACCACCCTCCTAGTGAAATAGTGTTTCCTAATAACCAACCTAAACCTCCCCCACTGCAACTTGAGACCATTGCTCCTTGATCTGTCATCTGCCACCACTGAGAACAGCCGAGCTCCATCCTCTTTGGAACCCCCCTTCAGGTAGTTGAAGGCTGCTAATAAATCGCCCCTCACTCTTCTCTTCTGCAGATTAAACAAGCCCAGTTCCCTCAGCCTCTCCTCGTAAGTCATGTGCCCCAGCCCCCTGATCAATTTCGTTGTCCTCAGTTGGACTTTCCAATTTGTCCACATCCTTTCTGTAGTGGGAAGCCCAAAGATGGACGCAATACTCCAGATGTGACCTCGCCAGTGCTGAATAGAGGGGAATAATCACTTCCCTCAATCTGCTGGCAATGCTCCTACTAATGCAGCCCAATATGCCGTTAGCCTTCTTGGCAACAAGGACACACTGCTGAGTCATATCCAGCTTCTCATCCACTGTAATCCCCAGGTCCTTTTCTGCAGAACTGCTGCTTAGCCAGTCGGTCCCTAGCCTGTGGCGGTGCATGGGATTCTTCCTTCCTAAGTGCAGGACTCTGCACTTGTCCTTGTTGAACCTCATCAGATTTCTTTTGACCCAATCCTCCAATTTCTCTAGGTCACTCTGGACCCTATCCCTACCCTCCAGCGTATCTACCTCTCCCCTCAGCCTAGTGTCATCTGCGAACTTGCTGAGGGTGCAATCCATCCCATCATCCAGATCATTAATAAATATGTTGAACAAAACCGGCCACAGGACCAACTCCTGGGGTACTCCGCTTGATACCGGCTGCCAACTAGACATCGAGCCGTTGATCACTACCTGTTGAGCCCTACAGTCTAGCCAGCTTTCTATCCACCTAATAGTCCATTCATCCAATCCATACTTTTTTAACTTGCTGGCAAGAATACTGTGGGAGACCGTATCAAAAACTTTGCTAAAATCAAGATATGTCACGTCCACTGCTTTCTGCATATCCACAGAGCCAGTTATCTCTTCATAGAAGTAGAGGCTCATGCATTTAGCTCCAGAGATCCCAGGTTCGATCCCGCCCGCCGACGACCAGGGTCTGTCAGTGTTACACAAGTTTTCCCTGCCAACCCGACATCTGTTTCCTCTGCTCCTGCTCTCGCGCTGCAGAGCGTCTCTGGCAGAAATCCTGAAACCAGCTGACTTCCTCCATGACTAATTCATTCATCTCTTTCAGTTCTGCCATCTTCTGAGCTAAGCAACTCTACTTCTCCAACTCAACTGAATATCACACCTGCAATCCCAGCTGCTGTTCACGTCTTTGACTCATTTCTCAAACCCTTCCCTCCTCCAGCCTCTACTTCTCCCTCTCACAGGATCTCAACATTTTCTGCCAAGAGAAAACTGACAATATACAATGTGACCTTCCCCTGCCCTTTGGCTCTCCTCCTTTTCCCCCATCCCCTCCTACAACTCTCTTCGCCTTCCCTCTGGTCAGATGCAGAATTTTCTCATCTGCTCTTCTCCTGTAACCCCCTCCACTTGTCAGAGTGATCCTATCCCATTCCCAGATCTCCCTTGCACCCACTCTCAGCCCCCTCCCTTACTCGTCTCCTTAACTGCTCGCTCTTCTCTAGCCCTTTCCCCCCAGAACACAAGCATGCTTTAGTCTCTCTCATTTAAAAAAACAACAAAAAACTTATCTTTGACTCCACTTGCCTCTCCTGCTGCTGCCCCATCTGCCTTCTCCCTTTCATCTCTAATTGAAACACACTGCTTATAATTGCTGTCTGTAATTCCTCTTCTCCAATTCCACCCTAGACCCTCTCGGATCTGGCTTCCACCCTTTTCACTCTGCTGAAACCGCTGTCTCCAAAGTCTCTAATGACCTCCTGCTAACCAAAGCTCAGAACGAATATTCCATACTCATACTCCTTGACCTGTCGGCCACCTTTGACACCACAGACCATGTTCCACTTGTTGAAATTCTGTCCTCCCTTGGCTCCCATGACTCTGTCATCTCCATCCTCTCTAATTGCTCCTTCTGCATGTCCTTCGGATGATCCTCCTCATCCACCTGACAACTTTCTGTGCGGGCTCCACAGGACTCTGTCTTTGGTCCCCTTCTCTTCTCCACCTCCACCTTATCTCTGGGCACTCTCATCTGCAAACACACATTCAGCTACCATCTCTATGCTGACAATTCACAGATCTGCCTTTCTACTCCAGACCTCTCTCTTTCTTGGCCGATCTCTCTGACATCTTCTTGTGAATGCCTAGCAGTCAGTTCAATTTCAACAAGGCTAAAATGGAGTTCTTAATCTCCCCTGCCTCACAAAAGCCCTGCCTGCTACCTCTTTTCTCAAGCAGTAATAATATCACCACCCTCCTGCCTGCCAGTCAGGCCCATAACTTGGGGGTCATCTTCGACTTGGACCTCTCTCTAGATTAGGATGGAGAAAAAGATACATTAGAATTGGAAAAGGTACAGAGAAGGGCAACAAAAATGATTACGGGTATGGAACAACTTCCATATGAGGGGAGATTTAAAAGACTGGGACTTTTCAGCTTGGAAAAGAAATGACTAAGATAGGATATGATAGCAGTCTATAAAATGGTGTGGATAAAGTGAATAAGTGTTATTTATAACTTCACATAACACAAGAACCTGGGGTCACCCAATGAAATTAATAGGCAGCAGGTTTAAAACTAACAAAAGGAAGTACTTCCTCACACATCGCATAGTCAACCTGTGGAGCGCTTTGCCCGGGCATGTTGTGAAGGCCAAAACTATAATGAGGTTCAACAAAGAATGAGATAAGTTCATGGAGGATAGGTCTATCAATAGCTATTAGCCAAGATGGTCAGAGATGCTCTGGGTATCCCTAGCCTCTGACTGCCAGAAGCTGGGAGTGGACGACAGGGAATGGCTATCTTGATGATTGTCTGTTCTGTTCATTCCCTCTGAAGCATCTGGTATTGGCCACTGTCAGAAGACAGGATACTGGGCTAGATGGACCATTGGTCTGACCCACTATGGCTGTTCTTACATTCTTATGAAGTGTTAAACCAGCTTTTGGCTGCAGTAGCCTCTTTTTCAGGTGTAGAAAAACTATTTTCTTCATTTCAGTTTATTCAACTAGTTCAGTTCAATGACTTGTTCATTCATAGTTAGGAAACCAATTGGGAGTTGAAAAATCAGGAAAGCTTGTTTTCCTCTTCCAACCTATGAATAAAAACTCAGTGTGTGAGGATGAGCTCTATTACTTCTAAAACCTTGAAGGACTTGATGACCAGAAACAATCAGTTCAATTGACTAACTACAGCTAATACTCCCTTTGTTGAATACATCAGCTAACACCAAAAAAATGCAGTCTTTCCTATCCATCCACACAGCTAAAACTCTCATCTAGGCTTTTATCATCTCATGTCTTGATTACTCCTCTCTGGCCTCGACAAATGCAATCTTGCCCAGCTCATGTCTATTCAGAACAGGGCTTTGGAGCGGAGCAACTCCGGAGCAGTGGAGCTGCAGGTTTTTGCCTGGAGCAGGAGCGGAGCCGGAGCTCCAAAGCCCTGATTCAGAATGCTGCTGCAAAGATCATTTTCCAATCCCATCATTTTGTTCGTGTCACCATCTCCCTGAATCACAGATTCATAGATTCCATGACCAGAACGGACCACTGTGATCATCTAGTCTGATCTCCTATTTAATGCAGGCCAAACTTCCCCAAAATAATTCCCTTCTCTGTCACATCAAACATAAGCTTTCACTTTCAAGGCCCTTTACAGCTTATCCCCACCCTACCTATCATCTCTCATTCACTGTCAAAAGGTCGACTCCTGACTCTGATAGGCCCATGATCCAGTCTCCACTGCCCTCTTGTTACATTTTCAAATTAGCACCTTCATGCTTCCTCCTATGCTGCCCCTCATGTTTGGGAGGCGCTCCCCACAGACAGGCACAAAGCCACCTCATTATCCTCCTTCAAAACCTTCTCAAAGCTCTTCTTTGCCATGATGTCTACAAAAAAACTTAACAATGGTTAGGCTGCCTGTCATGCTGACCAATAATGTCTCATTTTACTCCTCTGCCTGTCCTATACTTAGATTGTCAGCTCCGTGGGGCAGGGACCATCTTTTTGTTCTGTGTTTGTACAGTATCTAGCACAATGGAGTCCTTGTCTACGACTAAGTCCAAGGTGCTATGGTAATACAATAACAACAATAAACCAACGTGAAGCATATACCCTACCACTCTACAAACTCAGGGTTTAAAATGACTTCCACATGCTCAAACTATTTTCCAACAAGTCAGGAGACAACTGAGCAAAAAATATATAAAATTCCAGTCCTATAAATCAGCTTTTCTTTAGGACTTCCCCAGGAAGGGTGAAATGCCAGGATGACTAACAATAAACAGGGTATTAGACCAATCTCACTGTAGAGTACATATTAAATTCAAGAACTCACATTATTACTTAGCAAGAACAGCTTGGGGAGCATAGGTAGCCTCAGAAGATGTTGAAGATAGGGTAGAAAATCTCTGTGCTCCATGTCTTATGTGGAGATAATATTCATCTACTTTTGTAAAGTGCTTTGAAATGTTTGGCTGAAAAGCACAATTATAGATGCAAAGTACTGTTATTTCTGTAACAGCCCAGACTGCCCTGTCATATTGAAGATTATGAATATGATCAAACATGTAATATTACAACAGTATAAAAATAATGAACGCCGATAGAGGGGAAAAAAAACAAAAGATTTCTTTATCAAATACAGCAATGATTAACTACTTACCATAAACTGAACCACATCTTCAGGTTTGTGCTTTGCTGATTTGAATGCAGCCAGTCGGGTAACAGCTACAATGTGATATTCCACATGGCCGGACATCATCTTCCCATGGATTTCCTGGTACTCTGGCACTGACAAGTCTATCCCTGTGTGAGCATTCTGAACTTGCCTATGAACGAAAACAAAAAGTGAGTTCAAATATAGACAGCACTGACAGGAACACCTTTATTGATTGCCTCAAAGAACACTTGATCAAAGGTCCCCTGAATTCAATGAAAAGACTCCAATTTTAATAGGCTTTGGAGCTGGAATTAAATTTGGTCCTTAAACCATTGCTATTTAGTGAAAATATGACACCACCAACTATGCTATGAAAGAAATAACAAATGTTGCTTATGTAATGTATACGTATTTAGAGTAGCACTGATTACACTAAGCTTAACAAGATATACTGCAAAACCGATACACTTCAGCATCAAGACTGAAAAGTATTTTGCATTCATTTTTAATTGCAAACTTTAAATTTGCTGCAGCCAAACAAAACTTCTCCAATATGTTGTGAACCTCCACAGGATTTTAGCCTAAGGGTCATATTTTCAAAGGTATTTAGGTGCCTAAAGATGCAGATCAGCACCTAACTCCCATTTCAGAAGCACCTAAATCCCATTTAAATATATATTAAATTTAAATGTTCACTTTATACTATTTGAGATTATCTGTAAAAACGTTAATCATCCTCTATTCTGCTGAGAAATTCCTTCTATTGTACCTTGTATTACTCTGTTTCTTATTTAAAATGTATGCACCCTTTGCAAGGAACAGCAAGCCCAATTAACCAAAGCAAAACCACTTTTCATAGCATTCAAGCAGGTCTACCGATATTCACGGCCACATCGCCTAAATGTGCACAAATGAACTACCTGCCATTTGCTCACCTTCTGCATGCTCCACCCACAGATGAGATGGAGAAAGGACCATCAGTCTCAGTCTCATTGGCTGAAGTGTCATTGCTGGCTTCGAACCCTCAGATATCTTAGAACACTTTTTCTTTACAAATACCATGGGGGCCAAAGCAACCAAAATTATTATTCCTGCAGAGGTTGTTTGTTGCCACAGTGAATTACGGGAGTGGACCTCCAGGCCTGATCCTCCTCTCTGGTATACACATAACTTCCATTGACTACTGTTGGAATTATTTATTATTTATGCAGGATATTATCATGACACTAATTTAACCATAAATTCCTTTATTAAATCCAAAGGCTGAATGGTATTTATACAATTGCTCTAAACATGCCTAAAAAGCCCAAATAATAAGCAAGAAATAATATGCAATTTACTGCATCCAAACAGTAGCAAAACATTTATAAGAATTTGATCAAGAGATTTACAAAAGGGCTAAGCCCAGTGGTGCTTAGACCCATATTGGTTGTCTCCAACATGGTCAAGCAGGTATTAGTAATGAACCCTTTAAGAGTCTGCTTTTTATACCCCTTAACAAACAGGCGATGTATTGCCAATTACTGACTTCAGCTAAAAACCAATTTGAGACCGTTCACTTTTATTTCCAGTCTTAATCCAGGTAAGATTTACAACAGCATTTCTCCCTAAGCTCTTTCCTCCCTATCTCTTCCCCTCGTTCTTGCCGACCAACAGTTTTTCCTTTGCACCTGCGTTCACATCAGCCCAAACATTGGGGCCTGTCTACACTGGGGGGGGGGGGAGGAATTGATCTAAGATACGCAACTTCAGCTACGTGAATAGCGTAGCTGAAGTCGAAGTATCTTAGATCGATTTACCTTGGGTCCTCACGGCGCGGGATCAACAGCCGCTGCTCCCCCGTCGACTCCGCTACCGCCGCTCGCTCCGGTGGAGTTCCGGAGTCGATGGGGAGCGCATTCGGGGATCGATATATCGCGTCTTAATGAGACGCGATATATCGATCCCCGATAAATCGATCGCTACCCGCTGTATCGGCGGGTAATCTGGACGTACCCTTTGAGATAACGCTGGTATGTGGAGTGGGAAAGCCCATGTTGGCTCTTTTTACAACAAATTCTCTTTGTCTTATTTAAAGCCTCTGCAGTCACCCCTATCAGTCAGAGTCCTTCTCTTTAGAAATTTCCCGTTTTCATTAGTGATTCTTTGAACCAGACATCCTCCCTACTTCATTCCTTCTCGCCTTTTAACTCATTACTTTCACGGCCTTTCTTTATAACACATATTCCTTTAACCAAACTTGAGCTAACTTTAATTCTCTAATTTTATACTTATTCTACAACTACAGTGAAAGTTACTCATATTCTGGGACAGGAGAACAGGATCCCTGGATTTTACACCTCGAGGTATAAGCAGAGCTTCATCTGGCTAAAATTCACGAGACCTATGCAACACTCCGTAACCAGGCAAAGTCCACAGTAACGGCTGCAAGTTAAATCCTAACAATAAACAGGGTCATTGAAGTCAATGGGAGCTTTGCCACTAACTTCAAGGGGCCAGGATTTCACCTGGAGAGTTCTGCCTGAGTGAGGAGGAAATAAGGAACACGGACAGAAAAAACAGGAATCTGCTTGAAAGCAGGGACAGCCTGAGACCCGTGAACATGTGCTTGAGAGCCAAAGAGAGAATCAGATTCTAAGGTTTTGTCTTTACAGATAAAAAAAGGTGTGTTATTACCATGGGATAACTAACGTGCATCAGCTATCCTACTGTAAAGTCCTAGTGGAGGCAAAGCACTGTAGTTTTACCATGGCAACTAGGCAAGGTCAACCACGGGTGGTGAGTACAGTGCTGACCTCACCTAGCTACCTGGCAGGAAAAACTACAGTGCCTTGTCTCTACTACGATTTTTCAGTGATGTAACTATTGCACAATAGCTATCTCACTGTAAAACACACACACAGGCGATGTCTACACTTTAACTGTGCAGCTGCACCGGGGTAGCGCTTCAGTGTATACACCCACTCCAGTGATGGGAGGGATTTTCCCCTCACTGTATTTAATCCACCTCTCCGAAAGGCCGTAACTAGGTCAACAGAAAAATTCTTCCGTCAGCCTAGCACTGTCTACACCAAGGATTAGGTTGGCTTGGATGTGGGTATGTGGATTCTTCACACCGAGTTGATCTAATTTTCTAGTGTAGACCAGACACACACAATGAAGACAAAGCCTCAACTCTGCAGTTCATCAGCCAGCCCATTCCCTTTCTGACAGCTTGGGGCCCTGTCTTTACATGGGGTCCACAAATCATAAAGCCAGACCTACTGACAAGTTAGTGTTTTGATAGAGCTTGGGCCTGCAGAAGAACTGGATTACACATTGCTTGGTAGGTTTTAAAACAACAGCTGTGTCTGGGACTTGCAAACTTGGCCTCTGTTTTAATCATTGCTATCCAGTATGGTCACGTGTTTGGAAACAGGTCACATTTCATAGTTCTTTTTGCTTCTTTCCAAGTGTCTCCCTCCCTCTTATTACACTGATTGATTTACGTGCTTCAGAGGTTTCTTCAGATCACTGGAATTGTGCTGTAGCTCATGAAGTGAACTAGGCAGCTGAGATGAAGAAGAGCATTGAGAACTACCAGCTAATCAGAAATTGATTCAAACTTTAGCTGGGCTGATGCTAGATATTATTAATATAAATTGTTTATTCCCAAGTAAAAGAAACTCGTCTTCCAAATAGAACCACAGTGACCATCTTGAGTTGCCACGGCACCATTTCAAATGCAAATAGGAGCAGTGAGGATACCAGGCATGCACGTGACATAAAAGATGTTCCAATTCACTTTCCAATAAGACTATCATTCATCTTCCTGTTCTAATCATTGTACATTGTTGCCGTGCTTAGTTAAACAGTTGCTACCTCAGATGTGTCTACTTTTCAGTGGTAGCTCAATACCAATTTGTACTTTGAACTCCTATCCATTAGGATGAAAGGCAAGTGTAAGATATTTTATACAGATTAAGTAGCAGACAGTTATTTACTTTAGGTACTTATATGGCCCCATTAACGTAGTATCTGCGTGCCTCTCAGTCTATACCCTCCCAAAACCCCTAGGAGGTATTCTCCCCATTTTATCCTGAGGGAGGCACAGAGAGACTAAGTGACTTGCCCCGGTCACACACGAAGTCTGTGGCAGAGAAGGGAATTGAATTTGGATGTCCTGAGTCCTAGATAAATGCCCTAGCCAATGAACTTCCTTTCTCTAATGTGAATATGATAGTGCTCTCAAGATCGTTCTTTATTGTTTTGTTGTGGAGTATGGTTAAGGATTAATGGAGGGAGGTTTGGGGGAAAAAAGTAATACACTAAATAGTGCAGTACAGTACAGTATTTTCCTTAACATTACAAATTCCAGGGTATACACCAGGGTGCTGTGTTCTGGCTGTTCGGACAGTCCCAGAAAGGCTGTATCTACATGTAGGTCAACATGCAATAATTCTAAGGCTAAGTTACACTCAAAAGTTAAGTCAACCCAGCTACGTTGCTCAGGAGTGTGAAAAATCCACATAGCCCAGCGACACACTTAAACCAACCTAACCCCTAGCGTAGACAGTGCTAGGTCGATGGAAGAATTCTTCTGTTGACCTAGCTGCCGCCTCTCGGGGAGGTGGATTCACTATGCCAATGGGAGAATCCCTCCATCACTGTAGTGCAGTGGTCCCTAAACTGTGGGGCATGTGCCTCCCTATCGGGGCACAGAGAAACATTGGGGGGGGCCTGGGTCAGCCTCCACAAAGGCCAGGGAGGGAGCAACACTCAGCCCCGCTCTGCCCCAAGCCACAGCTCCGGCCCCGGCCCTGCTCCCGGCTGTGGCTCTAGCCCTGCTCCCAGCTGCAGCTTGGGGGAATGGGGGCGGACAGGTTCCGTTATTGGGGGGGGGGGGCACAATGGAAAAAGTGTGAGGACCACTGCTGTAGTGAGTGTCTACACTGAAGCGCTTAAGCTGTGCTACTGTCGGCTTTCAAATCTAAACAAGCCCTAGTAAGTCACTGTAATTCAGAAGGGAGAAAAAGAATGGCTACATGTGTATGTGCTGTATCACTACGTGTACACACAATGCATAAAAAAAATACATGGAGCACATCCTCAGCTGGTGTAAATTGCTGTAGCTCCCTTGACTGCCACAGAGATATACCAATTTACATCAGCTGAGGATCTAGCCCTACGTTTGAAATTCATTTCGATAACACTTTTCAATTATGCCAACGTGCTGTACAGAAACCAGCAATACCGTGACTATAAGCATCCAAAGTTGATGCTAGAAATAGCATGATTAGTTTTTCAACGGAACTTTAAAAAAAGAAAGAAAAGCACAAGTACTATACAGAGAAGAATTTTACCCAGTAAATGCTAAGTAGGCAAAGAGCCAGAAGGCAACAGTAATGATATTTCAGATAAGAGTGTACAGGGAAAGATTACCCACTGTCCTAAAAGTTAATGAAAAAGGGATCATGTCATAGGCAAAAGAAAGCTATGTTAATGAGACCATGAGCAGCTTTATCTCAGTTTGCCAAAAGAAAGTTTAATATAAAACAATTAACAATATTTTAGTGTCAAAATGTTCTTAATTTAAGGTCGTGTACAGTACTCAGATAATACACCTATAACTATGTTTGTTGAAAGAAAAAAAAGAGACAAAGATGAAACTATTTGCAAATGGTAAAGTCCAACAGACCAAGGAAATGTTACTGAGCATTGACACCTGGCTTAGTAAGATCAATGGTAATGTTTTGCACAAAAGGAAATTAAAATTATTTGGCAGATGCTTCAACATACACACGTTTTCCAAAATGCTTAAAAAGTTAGACAAGAACACAATCAATATGCTCATTTAGTCCCACTTCAACTTGTTTTCTTCTTCTGACATTTTAGGATCCACAGTATTATCTCCCATCTGGTTCCATATCTGAGAAGCAATCCCAAATTATCTACGATATTTTTGGAGAGGGAATGCCAGCATCCCATTGTTCACTGGTAGAAAGCAAGACATTTTATAAGGGCCAAAGAGAACTTTGTGTTCAACAAAACAGATAGTGTATTATCACTGGCTGGAAAATAAAACACTATGCACAGATATGGTGATGTTTTCCTGTTTCACCAGTGTACATCTACACTAATTCTACTGACACTGTTAGTGTAACTCTAGCTTTACATTATTACCAAAAAGAAATTTGGTCCATCAAGTGGCATTTTTGTAATCAATAGCATTAAATATTATTTGAACATGCATCTCCCTGTGTTTCCTTCCCTGCCTGTTTTTTAAAAGTGAAATGAAAGGGGGGGGGGTTAAAAATTGAGTTTCTTTTGAATTAAATGTTTTTTTCTGCTTGTTTTTACTCTTACAAATAACAGGAACGACAAATCTGGTCTTCCCTGGTTTTGTTTGAGAATTTCTTGAGGCTCAGAGGTGTTTATTATATGTTTTCATGCCTCAATTGTTACAGGCAGGCTGTGGAATCTTCAACAGGGACCACCTTTCTTCCAAGTGTTCATTAGGTATTAGAGTTTTAAATGTGCTTAAAAAAAACAAAAAGGAAATAGTTTTAAATAATCTAACCATAAATCCCTCCCCCTCTCAACATGTCAGGTTTCCCTGTGTGCTTTTATGTGATATCATAATAGAACTAGTTCTTTAAATACTGATGAGTTTACCCGAGAAGACAAGACATAATTTCTAATGTAAAAACCAAGTTGAATTATTATTTTTAAACAAAAAGACTGAGGTTTCTTTATAAATCATAAAAAAACAAACAAGCACACTAGCCCAATTTCTCACCCACCCTTCTTTGAAGATCGTGTTGAAAAGGAACCTGATCCTAGCCCCACTGACTTCACTGAGGCCAGGATTTCACCCTAGGTAACTAACGTTATATGCTTTATGTGGTATTCTGTCTTGTCCCAATTCCCTTTTCTTTCTCTGAACACTGGCAGAGACTCATTTTAAAATCAAGCCAAATTCTGTTCTCAGTTACACTGGTGCATTGACTTTACCAGGGTTGTCTTGATGTAAGAAAACAGAATTTTGCCCATACTGCTTAGATGTTTGCACAAAAGATTGCTTCTTTCACATATAAATTATGGCTGTTATTTGGAGTGTCTTCTCCAGCAGTGGCAGCCAACAATGCTGAGTAAGGGACATCTGACAGTAAAATTTGTTTTGTTTTAAATATAGATTTATGTTAGAGACAACACTCCCCAAATGCTTACTCACTCAGATTGCAGCTGTAAGAGTTAGTCAACAGTTCAGCAGGCTGGTAGTTTTGACTAAGTTCTGCTTTTGGTAACAAATCCTTAGACACATCTCTATATTGCAGATTCATAAAGCAATCTGTTCTCCGTCTCCCCACCCCCAACAATAAGAAAAACAAAATGTACTGACAAACCATCCACTATTATTCAAGCATCCTCAGAACATGGAACAACTCTTTTGTCTAGATGTAATCTAGCAGCTTGTCAACACTCTTGTATATTAGGATAGCAACTGACTTCAAATGTATTGGGTTCAAAACACTAGTTTAATTACAAGGGTTACTGAATCAGAGTTCTTAAAGGGCTATCCACCCAAAAAAAAAAATCACACTGATTTTTGGGCTTTTTTCATATTGTTAGAAATAACAGCTAAGATTACTATAACTGAAAGAGTTTAGAGAGGGAAATGATATTTTTGTTTGCAGTTTGTTAACTTTGTGCCTTTGACAGCACTTTGCATATGGTCAGTTTCATCATCGTTTCCCATGTGCAGTTTCCATTATTTGGGCAAACCTCTCCCACAGAAACAGGAGAGAGAATTTTATTTATTTATTTATTTTTAATTAGGAAATTGTGATCCTAAAACCACAAGAACTGGCAGGGAAATTCAGGAAGATGCATTATCTGAAGCGACTTTAGAGTTTTTGAATTGCCTAAGTTTCAAAATGAATGTCCCTAGCACATTTTGGATCTATCAGTATTGTTATTAATTTAATTTTGGTAGCACCCAGAGGTCCCACCATGCTCGGCCTTCTATAATTACACTGAGTAAGAGACGATCCCTGCCCAGAAGAGTTTACAATCCAAGGCCCCGACCCTGCAACATTAGAGAAATGCTTAAACTTTACCATGAGTCATTCCATTGATATCAGTAGGACTACTCATAGTAGTAAACAGGGGCATCATTTGTTATGGGATAAGGGATGCAGTTGCCCGCCACCAGACCTTGGTACCCCACACAGACTTGTCAGGGGTCTATACGCGCCAATATATCGTCCACTTCATCCTGCCCAGACTTTGCCGGATAAGATATAATCACATATAATGTTCTATATACTGACACAACTTTGGTCTCCCCCCCAGACCAGTGCTCAAGCCGCTAGGCACGCTGCCTAGTTAAATATCACCAAGCTTACGGTAGAATATAAACAGAAATAAAGATGAAGGCTGGTCTATGCACATCTGATAATGGGTACTATCAAAAGCAGATGCAGATTTTTTCCTATACATAATTTACAAGATTATTTATTTATTATTTGTATGGTTGCAACAAGGATACCTGCTCATGGATCAGGATCACATTGTGGGAGGTGCTGTCCAAACACAGAACAAAAAGATGGTATTTCTACTGTACCTTGAAACATACTCATTCTCCAACAAGCATGCAAACAAACATGCCAATCCCACAATTTTAGGAACTCCGCAATTTTTGCTGCGTTCTACAAATTCTAAACTTTTCTTATAAAAAGAAATTAGGTTTATATTATTCATTATTATTATTATCCTCTTGACTGAGGAGCAGCCAAATGCCCTCAGCACCTGGCAGGATTAGGCTCTTACTGAAGAGTGAGCAATGTTTACTTTCAGAATATTATTTGTCTAATCACACATTTGTAAAATTGTTTTAGGTGCATTACCTACGGCCACAAAGACGATCATAACGCAGCCTGTGCCCTTCCCAGCTCCATGATGATAAATAAATAATGTTGATGAATTTATACACTACTCTATAGCGGTAGATAGCTGTACTCTACAGCTGCAGCGAAGCTCGAACACTTTAAGGAAACCACACATTTTTCACTTGTAATCTCACATCCAGAATTTCTAGCAGGATGAAATTAAAATGGATTAATTTACACTGATTAAGAAGGCAGTGCTGGCACTGCCATCCAGCATCATAACAGGCTTTTGCAGAAAATTTCGCCTGGCTGTACAGCTATTCAGAGGCAGGCTAATGTTATGTAAAGTGAATCCTGCTGCACAGAAAAAGATGGATTGTTGCCATAGTTCTGTGTTTCCCACTTGCAGAGCCCAAAACCCAAGTGTCAGCGCGGAAACCTTTGATGTTCACGAGTTTGTTGCCAGTCCCATAACTTTGGATACCAGTAAAGGGACTAACGACCTCCCAGGCGGGGTTTTAGAACGGCTACGCTATCTGGGAAAGAGAAAGCCTCGAGCGCAGGGAGCTGGCCTGGTACATTTTCAGGGGGAGGGAGGGAGGTAATTCAGAACTGCTAGGCGGTCAGATCTCCTTCGGATCATCTCCCACCTCCACTGTGGAAAGGGATCACCGCCGATTCCTACTAGTGCTGCCTAACCCACCCCCTCCTCCCCGCAAGGCAGAGCGCCCGCGGCTCCCCGGAAAGCCCAGAAGCTCGGGGCAGCCAGGCCCGGCGGAGGCCCCAGCGCGGCGGCACAGAGGCTGCACCAGGCTCTGCCGCGGCCGGCTGTAGGCAGCGCTCTGGCGGGGTGCCCTGGGGGGAGGCTCCAACATGAGGGCGCCGCAGCCCCCGGCAGTGCCCGCAAATCCCCGGCCGGCCAAGGCCGAGTCCCCGGCAGGTCGGAGCCAGGCTGCCGGGGCAGATCCCGCGGAGGGAAGGCGCAGGCCGCAGCCCCCAGGGGCCGTCTCCCAGCGCGGGCTGCGGCCGCAGGAGCGAGGCGCCTCGGCAAAGCGGCAGCTGCCCTGAGCCGCTGCGGGCCCGGGGGAAGTTCCCCGCCCCGCCTCACCTGCTGGTGACCAGCACGGCCGGCGCCGCGCCCTGCTGCATCCTGCCGCCCCGCACAGCGCAGCCCCCGGCCCGGAGTCCCGAGATCGCTCCCTTGCTAAGAGCCAGCTGCGGCGCAGGGACTCCGTGCTGGGCTGGCCCGGTTCCCCCGGCCTGTTTTCCGGCGGCTCTGCCCCATGGGGGCGTTTCCTTAAATTACATGGGGGGAAAAGGAGCCAAAAGAAATCCGTAGTCGGCAGGATTCGAACCTGCGCGGGGAGACCCCAATGGATTTCTAGTCCATCGCCTTAACCACTCGGCCACGACTACAACTTCTTCTGGCTGGTTTCAAAGGATTGCTCTACAAATTCCTCTCTCTTGTGTTCGTTTTTGGCATATTGGAAGTATTCTTATGTCACAAGCTGAAGGAGGCTGCTCATCTGTTCTCTTTGTACTTTAACTAGTTCCCCCGGCATGCCTTTACAAATTTAGTAATAGTGCCACCCAGTGTCATTACCTTTAATAAAAGAATCCACTAACTAAAATGTGTCATAATTGTTCTCAATATATTTGTCACTGAAGGATTTATGCCCCCACTTAATAACCTTTGCCCGCTGATGAGCTACAGAATATTGCCAGCACGCAGGTGATTCAGCCACGTTTGAAACTATTTGCAGTTCAGCACAAAAGGAGCACTTTGATCCTGACCTAGATGCACTTTTGTTTGGCACCAGTAGTAGCTGAACTCATGAAAACACAAACTGTACCATGAGTTCTTCTGTAGAAATGAAATAAACCCAAAAATATGTTATTAAAACTTGGGGCCTGATTTTGCAAACTCATATGTACTGGCCAGGCAATAAAGTTAGTAAAGGATGTCAATGTTTTCAGGATTGAGCCTTTACTATCTCACTTTCAAAGAAACACACCAACCACACATACATCCTTCCCCATCCCTCCAAAAAACAAACAAACATGGGAGTCACACATAATATACATCTATGTAACTATTCCCAGGCAATGTTCCCTCTAATTTTTTCCGTCCATCTACAGAATGAATTTTGTTATGTGCACCAATATGGAGTTGATGTGTGGCAAGGGAGGGGCCAAGAGGTTCGGAGTGTGGGAGGGGGCTCAGGACTGGGCAGAGGGTTGGAGTTGGGGTGTGAGGACTCCAGCTGGGGTTGCGGGCTTGGGGAGGGGCTAGGGATGAGGGGTTCAGCATGCGGGAGGAGGCTCAGGGCTGGGGCAGAGGGTTGGAGTTAGGGGGTGAGGGCTCCAGCTGGGGATGCGGGCTTGGGGTGGGGCCAGGGATGAGGGGTTGAGGGTGCAGGAGGAGGCTTAGGACTGGAGCAGAGGGTTGGGGTGCGGAGGAGTGAGGGCTCCGGCTGGGGGTACGGGCTCTGAGGTGGGGCCGGAGATGAGGTGTTTAGGGTGCAGGCTGCCCCGGGGCTGCAGCGGGGAGAGAGGACTCCCCCCAGCCCTCTCTCCCCGCAGCAGCCCTGGGGCTGGGGAAGAGCGTCTTTCCCCACCGCAGCAGCTCCAGGTCTGAGGCCAGGGGAGAGGCATCTCTCCCCACCATGGCAGCCCTGTACACCCAAGCTCCCCGCCCACCCCCTATTCCCCACACCTCTCTCCTGCTCAGGGGTGTGAAAAATCCACACGCGTGAGCAATATAGTTATACTGACCTAACGTCCTGTGTAGACAATGCTATGTCGACGGGAGATCTTCTCCTGTCAGCATAGCTACCAGCTCTCCGGGAGGTGGATTAGCCACATCGATGGTAGAAGCTTTCCTGTCAGCATAGGAGCGACTTCACTTAAGCTCTACAGCAGCACAACTGCATCCGTGCAGCTGCGCCGATGCAGCGTTTTTAGTGTTGACCTGCCTTGAAATATCCCTGCTGCCCCAAGAGGCTGAGTCCCTAGGAGACATGCTAGTAGAGCAATGTGTGTGGAAAGGTTAGCAGGCTGCTGTCCTGCAAGTGACATTGTTCCCACTGCCTGTCAATCTGACACCTTGCACCAGCACCAGGGCCGGCTCTAGGCACCAGCGTTCCAAGCATGTGCTTGGGGCGGCCCTTTTCAAAGGGCGGCACTCTGGCTTTTTTTTTTTTTTTTTTTTTGCTTGCGCCCCCCGCCCCCCCCCCCCCCCCCTTTTTTTTTTTGCTTGGGGTGGCAAAAAACCTGGAGCCGGCCCTGACCAGCACTAAATCCACCTGCAACTTCTGTTTTTTTTAAATTGAGGTTTATGATTCTATACAAATATGCAGATTAGCATCATGGGTACAGGGCTAGTTGCACCTTTGTCCCCTTTGTGGGTGCACCCCCTCTCAGCTTCGTGCCTTTACCTCTCTGAGGTGGAATTCTGCGCTTCACCCACCCCTGATCTGGACCCTGAGTTACAATACCCTGTGTATGAACTGTTCTTACCCAGCAGGTCCGACTGTGATTCTTCACTTCGGGAGTCTGTGACCAGTGGTGCATATAATAACCAAACCATCTTCTTAAACCAGGTATTGTTTATTTATCAGTGCAAAGCATTTAGAGAAACAAGAATTGTAAAACAAGTCCACACACATGGCTTTAGAATCATAGAAATGTAGGACTGGAAGGGACCTTCATAGGTCATCTAGTCCCGTCTCCTGCACTGAGGTAACATTACATATTATCAAGACCGTCCCTGACAGGTGTTTGTCTAACCAGTTCTTAAAAACATCCACTGACAGAGATTCCAGGTAATTTGTTCCAGTGCTTTACTACCTTTATAGCTAAGAAGTTTTTCCTCATGTCTAACCTAAATCTCCCTTGCCGAAATTTAAGCTAATTTCTTCTTGTCCTATCCTCAGTGGTTAAGGAAAACAAAGTATCGTCCCATTGGTGCTGGAAGTATGGGTGCTGCCACACCCCCTGGCTTGAAGTGGTTTCCATCATATATAAGGTTTATAGTTTGGTTCAATGGCTCTTAGCACCCCCACTATAAAAATGTATCCAGCCCCCCATAGCATCCTCCTGTTTATAGCACCCTTTTACATATCTGAAGAGTGTTATCCTATCCCCACTCAGTCTTCTCTTCTCCAGATTAAACAAAACCAATTTTTTCAATCTTTCCTCCCAGGTCATGTTTTCCAGACCTATGATCATTTTTGTTGCACCTCTTCGGACATTCTCCAGTTTCTCCACATCTTTCCCAAAGTGCGGTGCTCAGAACTGGTCACAGTACTCCATCTGAGGCCTTATCAGTGCTGAGAAGAGTGGAAGAATTACTTCTCGTGTCTTGCTTACAAACATTCCAGAATTATATTTGCCTTTTTTTTTTTTTTTGCACAACAGTATTACATATTACTACAGGATTCCTGGTGGTAACCTAAACAGGCCTGACTTCATATACCCCAGCAGGTGCTTGCATCTTAGTCTGGTTCCCCTGAACAACTACCCCCATTTAGAGAGACAGTGTCCCTTTTGAAACTACAGTAACTCCTCACTTAAAGTTGTCCCAGTTAACATTGTTACGTTGCTGATCAATTAGGGAACATGCTCATTTAAAGTTGTGTAATGCTCCCTTCTAACGTCGTTTGGCAGCCTCCTGCTTTGTCCACTGCTTGCAGGAAGAGCAGCCCATTGGAGCTAGCTGGTGGGGGCTTGGAACCAGGGTGGACCGGCAGCCCCCCTATCAGCTCCCCGCTCCCCTAAGTTCCCTGTGCAGCAGCTGCCCAGCAGGCTATCAATTGCCAGGCAGTTCAGCTGTCCCGCCCCCCACTGCCATGTACTGCTCCTGCCCTCTACCTTGGAGCTGCTCCCCGAGCCTCCTGCTTGCTGTGGGGGGGAGGGGCTAATGTCAGGGTGTCCCCCTCCCCCCTGCTCCTATACCCTGCTTACCCCTTCTCCATATAGAGCAGGGTGGGAACACGGATGGAGAGAGACAGAGAGAGTGTGGGGCATCAGCTGCTGTCTCAACTTCCTGATCCACTTAAAAAGACAATGCACTTCAGAGTGGGTCAGCTTACTTAAAGGGGCAGTGTGCATCTCTCTCTCTCCCCCGCACACAAGATGTGTGTCTGTCTCTGTCTGCTATGCTATCCCCCCTCCCCTCCATTCCTGCTGTCTAGTAGAGTGTGAGAGGCTACATTAACAACAATGTGTTAACCCTTGAGGGCTCAGCCGAGTGCTAGTTCATCATTTAGCAGCAAGGCATTCCCTGGGAAATATCCCACCCTCTTCCACCCTCTAACTTTACCACCTCAACCGAGCTTCACAATCAAAGCTGTGAACAGTATTAAATTGTTTGTTTAAAACATTTTGTTTGGTGAAAAAAATTTCCCTGGAACCCAACCCCCACCCTATTTACATTAATTCTTATGGGGAAATTGGATTCGCTTAACATCATTTCGCTTAAAGTAACATTTTTCAGGAACATAACTATAACATTAAGCGAGGAGTTACTGTACTGTAGTCCTTTTGTTGTTCTGCATTCCCAGGACTTTTCCTGTCCTGGCATTGTCTGTTAATGACTCTCAAGTGTTTGCTGAGACATGGCTAACCTCAAGCCATTCTTTTGCTTTCCTGCTTGTTTTTCCTTACACCCACCTATTAAACTAAACCAATACATTCATACACTAGACCTCCCAATAAGTAGTGCGACAACACACCTCTTTTGTCACATCAGGGCTCAGTGTTTCTCCCTCTGGCATTGAGGGGTTCTGGGATAAATCAATCCCACTCCAGAGATTTAATATTTCACATTGGTTTATTTACAGGGTAGGCCTTAGGTTTGGCCTGAGAGCTTCTTTAAACAAAACCAAAATAATTACATTTCTTAACTCACACTGCAGTACTGCCTCTTCTTATGCCAATCACCAGCTATTGAGATGGTTGCAAGGCCGACCAGTCTCTCCTGTGTCATTGTGGAACGTAGATGTGTTTTTATTAACTTCAGCTTGGAGAAGCTGCATTCTCCACTGGCAACTGTTACAGGAAGTGTTAGAAGTATGCGCAGAGCAACAAAAGCATTTGGATAGAGGGTGGTCATTTTATTTGTGCACATATATTCCAGACAGCCTTTGGAGTTGATCCTGCTGAAATGTATCTTGAAAGGGCTTTCAGTTCATCACCTAAATCACTCGCATCAATATCGCGCATGTCATCATGTATCAACACTGTCTCTAGTGCCCTGCATTGCTGGTGTAGGTCTTCTTCAGGTATAGTTAGAAGTTTTGGAATATCACACAACATCCCAAATATACTGCTGTGTTCCTTGAGCTGCACAAAACGTTCTTCAACTGACTGTATTGCACAATCTAGCACCTGGTTAAAGAATTCAACTTTGAATTGTTGTTTGGGGTCTCTTATGGGATTACCCCGTGCCTCGTAATCAAAATGTCTTCTTCTTTGGTGACTCTTGTATTCTTGAATGGGT